ACCAGAACCTACCGAATGTTTTCAGTGTTGATTTTCACATACAATTTCATGCATAATTAAGCTGCGTAAGAATACAAAACCACAACATTATAACGTAATTGGTTTAATGCAAAAAGTATGGTGAGAGTCTATCTTTTTTTAATACTCCACGGTCTATCATATCTTCACCTTTGGCGAGCGCCTTTAAGTTTTGATGACTAGTTTCACTTAATGTAATTTGACAAGTTGGCCCTACATCCGTTGCCCGAGTTCGTGGTCGGGCGAAGGCTGACCAGTAGCGCGGCTTGGCTATTTTAGGAAAATTCTGCATTAATGACAGTGACCATGGCCGTTGGTCAAAGAATGTGACCGACCATAATGTATACTGTTACACACTGCACTGACCCTCAACCACTTGCTGGCCGAAGTGCAGGTAATGTATGTGACAAAGAATGACCCTGAACTTTTGCCATCACTCCGGCCACCGCAACGAACTCCAATTCACCCCTCGGATAAAAGAACTGACCGCTGGATTACTAGCAAGACCGACTGAGGTATAAAAACTCGCTGGGGCAGCTGGTTGGATCAGACAATCTACCTCAGCGGGGCCCTGCCGCCCGGGCTCGGCGGGGCTTAGGCGCCTGCAGCCCCACCGAAGTAACTTGCCTACTCACGGGTCCAGCCGGTGGCTGTCGCGGTACAATGGGACAACGACCAACTCTCTCCACACACACACGGCTTTCACATTATGTACATGTACTGCACATCAGATCTGCGTACATACCCGTAAGGTGGGCCAACCGACGGTGCCTGACTATTTTCTTCATAGTACCCAACCGCAAGTTTCCAGAATAAAATTATCCGCAAAATGTTAAAGAGAAAACCGCAGCTCAGAATCAGACGCGGGAGCATGTCACAACATGTCTAGTGGCCGAGACAGGCTGTGCAAAAAAAGAGGAAAATTGGCAATACAATATTCACTGATTCGGGCAAACTTAAATGTCACAGACTGAGAGAACTTGCCACGGATTCAACCTTGTGTGCCATTCACCTGGTGAGGGGTAGTTCTTGAGATTCACGGACCCTGGAAACGGATCGACTTGCCTCAGTTACTGAGACAGGCACAGAGCAAACCACGCGTGCGGCGCAGTGGCACTTGAACACCACAAAGCTGGGACCAACAAAGGTAATTATTTACAGTTTGCATTTTTGAAAATGTGTATCTTTCAAAATGTACAATCTATGTACACAAGTCGTGCGAAAATGATGTTGATTAGCACAGTGCGTTGTAAACACCATGCATGGCTGTGGTTAGAGAGAAAAGGGTTGAACCAGTAGGCCTACTTGTATGTTTCAAAATAACGACGGTACTTTGTTCGGACCTGCCGTTTATTTCCGCAAGTGCACGTACTTGCTTGATTATACGGTTCATTTATTTGTGCAATCACAGTTTCATGTTAGAAGATGGCAAGTGAAGAGGATTTTCGTGGCCCAAACGAACCGTTGTCTCGATTCTGTTCCATCGTGCAGTCGCCATTTTGTGCACAACGTGTACCTTAGTATCTCACACCGTTTTGGATAAACTACTGTGAGCTTCAAACGAATTTAAACATTCTGAGGTGTTTTGTTGAGATGACCTTCCAATCACCTCTGGAGGTATGATAAGATGACGCCAATGACGCTAACGAACGACTATTCGGTCGCGGCGACCCCCCAGGCTAGCGTGGAGTTGTCTTCGATATCTTTGGTACACGCCCCGCCGCACGGCAGGAAAAAAACAGGTCACATGAAGAAGTTCCACTGCAACAGCGCAGTGTGCGTACAAACAGCGGGCCTTGTATTGCGCATGTGTATGTGTGATATCGGTCTTTTGTCTGGGTCACGGACGTTCCTTTCTGTCCCGAATGACCCATTCATGATGACCAAGGAGGGCTGTAGAAGCGCTGGAAAATGACCTTCACCGTTAGAACAATAATTGGCATCTGCTCAATTAACCTTTGACAACTACGAGCCACAGTTCAGGGAAGCTTTTTTATGATCTCCATCGTAACTAACCATGCATCTGGGCAGACATGTAATTTTACCACAGTGATGTACAAAAGTAAGAAAAAGGATGTAGTGTACATGTACATGAACATGTAGTATGTGCCATTACAGTAGGCCTATACAGTTTCTCCCAAAAAAGTGGTAGAGCCGGAGACTCCCCGGTGTAAAAATTGACTCTTGTGCCGACCATACTTTCTACAGGATTCAGGAGAACAATGGTGTTTGCTTTAGGACGAATTAGTCATCTATGCATAGTCGATTTTCAATTCGACTGTGTTATTCGGTGGTCATGGTCGCATTGTCCTGCCCGCTAGAAGATAACGCCATGGGGGTTGTGGAAAGTTCAAGGGCCCACATCTCTTTGTCGGTAATGTCAAAGTCGATTAATCGATCTCGAATACGGCGTTGGGTGCAAGATATCATTTATAAGGTATCGGTCTAAAAATGATATCGTAAACGAGACAGTGACGGTTTCGTCCACGACAATCCGAACGGTTGTGGTATCGGTTCCATATAAAGGGCTTTCAATTTTCGAACTGGTCAAACTCACGACCGTACAACATAAATTTCTCAAGTATTTTCGTCTATTGTTTACGACAGTGTCAGAGTGAAGCCATAAATTAGGCATCATGTTGAACCGTTAGTCTAAACTATCTAGATGTCAAAGTTCTGTTTGCCAGAAAGAAAAAAAAGACAAAAACGCTTTTGCAACAGTTCATTCGCGGTCAGGGGTCTTTCGTGTCATCTAACGGGACCCTGACCGAGTGTCGATAAATCATCTTTCCGTAGCCGCGCTGCCATTGGCTGCTCACAACGCGCGGTCTGGTGACGTAAACAAAGCAAGCGTACAGTTTGTGCGGGGACAGTCACTGGGCGTGCACACACGCCATGCCACGGAGGGCCCGGGTAATAAGTTCGGGCTAAAATTACGGCAACAAAACGTCAAAATGATGTCAACAATATTCAAGGATAACAAAAAAGGCCCCCTTCCCCGCAGACTGTGAATGGAAAGCCGAGTTACCGTTAGCTTTTGAAAACAATATCTTTTTTTTTTCTTGTAATGATGGACATAGTGGAGTCGGGTATAAATTTGGATACTTCGGCGTTGGCATTTTGTAATTGTAATCATAAAGTAGATTATTAATTCTGATGGAGATCGCTACGGTGATTTGAAAAACCTCACCCACCTTCTGTTTCTGTTGTAGAAGTAGAAACTGTCTCAAAATGGCATCGGACGAGCTCAAATTGATTTTTTGTGTGGGCGTGCACCGTTTTTTATCATGAAATATTTTTCTTATGGGAAGTTCGTCATGCGTATACACGATACACCGTGCCGAACTTAAGAGGATACATTCCCCGATTTTAACTCTGCAACACGAGTAGTTAATCGAAAGGCGCGCACGTTATTATTTATACATGTACCTGCGATTCTGTCGGGTTTGTTCCCCACAGAATTATGTGTAAGTTTACAGGAAACAGATGACCTGGTCTATCCCGACACACTGGGGAAAGCGGTTTGTCTGCAGTTCTGCTACAGCAGCACGTCAGTACGGTAAAAAGATTGGGCCGGGCCGGGCCCGGCGGTCTAGACTCGAAATGTGGGACGCGACGTTCCGCGGTCGCTGTCTGGTTTTCACGGGCGGGTAAGGGGTCAACGTGTCTGGATCGCGAGTCATAGTGTTCCGGTCTGCTGAACCATGGCTGAACTGAGCAGAATGCTTGTTCAAATTTTTCGTCGAGGCACAGATTTTCCCCCTGAGCCTACGAAACATTTATTTATTTATTTTTTGGAAACGAACTTATCAATATGATTACATGCAGACATCAGTTTAGGGGCATAACGCGCCCCCTCCCCCTAGCCTCCCGGACATTTTGGTTTCAGATTCGGATGTCGAGGATTACACAGTTTTCATCCTGGGGGGTTCGCGTCTTTTGAAACTGCCGGCGTTCATGTCGTGTTGGCTCATACAATGATGACTTCGTCCCCAGCATGACTGATGTAACATCTGGCGACATGATCGATGCAGCATAGCACCGTCGCCCATCGTGCACTCTTGAACTTCGTTTGTAGGTCAGGTTAACTTCGAGGGATTTAACTGTTTCCTTTTCGGCATTTGTATGTTCATGTTCGAGAGATAAATGGATATACATGTACAACTGCATATGTATGTACTGTCCGTATGCAACAGAGACGAACAGGTAAGCGTCGGCTTCTTTACTACAGGCGAGTCATGGGTCACAGTGCTGCTTGATTTTCATCACTGAAATAAAATTCCTTGGAGAAATATTTTTCACCAAATCAGAAAAAAAAACATTTCAAAGAAGAGGCCTCTGTGAAAAAAGTATTAAGTTTAACGAAACATGACAAGTTGTGATCGCAATATTTTAAGGACATGATATGTACATGTACTGTACATGTACGGTATACGGAACCCTGCATAATACATCACTGCATATTTTGGTCCGTACGCACTACAGTAGAAAGTGCACGTCGTGTACAGTACAGTACATCTACATGTACATTACGTATGTCCACGTCACAGAGAAAAAGCTTGGCTCAATTTATAACGTACAATGTACTATTTTGCCGGACACGACAACAATTATTCCGATAACGAAATCAATAATTCATGAGGCCGATTCGTCCGCCACTCGTCCAACTGGGGGCGTGGTCTGGTGCCACCGTGAAAGCCCCACTGCCTGTCGCGCACGTACTGAATAATACATGTTTATTTTGTAATGACTCACTGGTTAATCGGCCGAGAGGGCCTTGAACATCTCACCCCAGCGTTTCTGGGAAACGGTTCGTGCATGGTTCACGGAACGAGTGGAGACTACGATGCACCGTAATACATGTGCATACGCGCGCACAAAGGGCTGTAGGCAGAGAGGCCTGAAGGGCGAGGGGACGACTACCGGGCTAACAAATAAAGGATGTTTACGAGCTGCACT